TATATATTATTTAATAAATATACCTTTATATAGTATACATAAAGGTATATTTATTAAATAATATATATTTCTAAAGAGCAATCATCTTTATGCATAGGGCGTAGTGATCCGTAGATAGAGAAAAATGGCAAAACCTATATGGGTTGAGTTATGCAACATATGTCATATAGTCAAAAGTCTGATCGACGTGAAAAAAATCGTATTAAGTACAAAGAATATTTCTCTTTTGCCTGTATCCATCATTACCTCTTATTAATATTATTATAATTATTAATTTATTAATTAATAATGATGAGATCATAAAGTCTATTTGTTGTTTAGACAACGCCCAGTGTTTCAGTTACCTTCTCGATCACAGTGATAACGGTTAGTAGAAAAAAATCGAACCATGACACTTCCTCTGGGTTTAACGTCACCCTGTTGGTAGCGTAATGCGGTATGCGTTAGGCCAGGATTATCTGACCCCATTCGGCATAATAACAACGGTAATGAACCAAAAAACCTACATATTTACTGTAGGGAACCGGCATATTCGAACTCAGCGGACACAAGAGAGGCTTATTCTAGTAAGAAACTAGTCTGGGAGGACCATCTGTCCTACGAGAGGAGTGGGGTACGTGTTCCACCTAACGACTGTGTCAGACCTGAAGAATTGACAGATGAGACAAACAAACCGTAAAGAAGTGCCAAGAACAACTGTAACAGTAAACAGCAGGACACTACACTTATTGAACCTAAAATCAAGGCCCGCTATTTCTCAGGGAAAGGGATTCAAGCGCTATTCGATTCTCTAGCTAAACAAAGGTTCTGCATAAAGAAAACAAACATTCAGGGCAAAGCAGGTATACGGGTAAACTGTTTGTGTAGTAGCGAAACCTTCGACGTGTGCACGTGTTTTTTCAACTTCCAGATTCAGAAAGAAGAATTCTCTCGCCGCGAATTTGGAGCGTGCTTGTTGAGGCCGCGTTGAAGGACGTACAAAATCTAGGTGAGGGGGCCGATGCTACTAGACGTGTCCGTAAAACTCAACATTCTACTTATCAACTAGTCATGAGATCTATTATGACAACTGAATACAATAGCGCAGGGCATGGCAAAGCCGTACGTTCTACATCTTTTGGCAAGATACTCTGAACTGATCACTTGTACCTGCTCATGGTATGGCTTGCGTACGACCTAAGATACGATTGGCAAGGACGCGTTAGGCTCTAAAATAGCGCTTTGTCTATATTCTACCTGTAACGGGGGCGACGTCAACAATTCTATTGTTTTCAGGGGCGCAGCTAACACGATTTTACTCTATCGTTAAATGTGCACGCCGGTGTACGAAGCGCACGCAAAGCATGGGCGCATGCGATGCTTTTGCAGGCACGATAAAGAATAAAGAGTTGTATGGTTAGCTTTAGTGCTGAAGTAGAAATCGTTTCCAACTACCAAACCAGTACCTATGAGCAGGGATGCCATGTGGAGTTAGGAAAACTTTATGATAACGTCAGCTTGGATACGAGCGACAGTACAGGCTGGACGACCTTTTTTGCATTATGAATAGAAAATAGTCCTGGTGGAAATAGGGATGAACTTAATAGATCAATACGTGTCCACGATTATGGCTTAATCGCGTCCGCACGTTTCTGTTTGTCGAATATTTGATAAGGTATAATCTGAGTGCTATAGGTCAAGACCCTGTCTGCAATTTTAAAGGAAGGGATTACAATGTAAATTTTTCAGGCTTTTTTTTCATCTTTTGCTGATGTCGAAGCCTTTCGGCATCAGTAGCCTCGCTAAAGGCTTATAAAGAAAGTACAACTGATACCTACATTAGAGAAATGCCCATATACAATTATCGAGCCCATAGAACATTGTCCTTATCATTATTACGTGCTAATGAAGCAAGCCTATTGTCAGCAAGTAAGAATTTACTTCGCAAACTGCGTATCAACTTCTAACTTCTCAAAACAGTGTCTCGTATAACAAAATAAAATACAATATTGTGGTGTTATTATATAGTTTATACGTTAGTTTATTATATGATCGTAATAATTATATTATCATTAATGCGATGACTAGTGCTATAGAAAGCCGGCAATTATTGTTTTTTCTTTGACGTTTTCTCCGGTTCGTTCGCAGTTCACTTCTAATTTTCGCTATATTTCGTCGACATAGGTAACCGGTGTCATGCGTCAGTTGTTATAGCAGCTGATACCCGTTATCGTTGTGTTTGATTCGTCAGAATGTTATTATTTCTTGTCAATCAACTTATTTTTTGTTATTGTTCTATGATTCAATCCGTGACTGCGACTTTCCCCGGGGCTTCACCACTAACTGATACGTCTCACGTATCTATCTAGCCTGCAATGCGTCAGAGGTGACAATGATCTGTTTGGGTGGCAGTTGCATCTTTACTTCGTAACAACGTTACTGTTTATCTCTGTGATTCACAGCGGGCACGCTATCGCCTCGGGTGTACCTTTTGTCGCTCGGACCCTTATAAACAATCATACACTCACGCATTCTTTATTTTCATTGCTTTGTTTTTTTTTTTTTTTTTTTTTTACGAACAATTATCTCTTTATATTTCACCGTATCCATTTGTTAGCTTTCACACTCAATCCTATTCTCATTAGGTATGCCGTATCGGGAGGACTGTGTGGAACTAGTTCTGCCATCTTGTTCACTTTTACATATACAGAAACCGTAGAAAAACGTTATACATACTGTGTATTTCCGTGTCCGTCGAATGTGTATAGCAATCATTGTTCTTAGTATGTATCAGCACGTATACAGTAATAGTGATCGTAACGAAACTAAGGGAATGCATCTCGCAGTGGACCTTCACAGTTCATTGCTTGGTTTGTGTCTTTTCGATTGCTATTTGGGTAGCACCCAATGAGTGACTTTTGTCTATTATAAGGAGTATTAAATGTCTAGTGGGCAAACCTAGATTCTCCTGGGGGACTGTTGCGTCATTTGCCCTCCAATTATGTTATCGTACTCGACGTCCCCTGCTGAGTTTGCCTACTTTCGACGAATATGGAACGACGTACTCTGATAAAATCAGAGGCCTGCGCTGAGACGGCTATGCCGTCTGATATCGAAATGCCTTCTGTGCATTTACGCTACAGTGTGCTGCACTGAGTGAAACCACTCATACGGATTCGCCAGGCATCGATCCTATGCTCTATTCTTGTTCAATTTTTAGTATACAATTAGTTTGAAATTGATTCTACCTGCATGAAATTACCTACTTATTGATAAAGACGTAATTTATAATACACGATATCGTATTTGCGCGTTCACATACACATTTTTCTAAGATATTTCTTAGAGAGAACTTTAGGGGAATCTACGTACGAAATCGTTCATGATTTTTGGCGGGTACGTTTTTCAACGGTTGTACATACATATTTTAGTAGCGATAATGCCGAACCGCATCGATGGGCAGAGGCGGTGACTCATTGTTCCAAGGGTTAATTTTGAAAGGTAATGGCGGATATGTTCATCGTCAATATCAGTTCATATCGTTAGAACAGATGACATTTCGGTCTCATGGTAACCTCGAAGAGTTCAAATCTATAGCGATGCGTCTTCTCTGAAAAAGTTACCTCCGCGCCCTTTTCAACCTCAACTTCGTCATGAAATCCCATTGTTATCGTTCTCCCATATTCGTCTTCGTTAGCATAACAGTAATAATCAGTTAATAATATATTATAAGTAGCATCTACAGTGTATCGTATACGATTACCTAAGCATCTCTTCATGATTTCTCTTGCCCCCGTTTCTACATCTGTATCTACAGCTTGGTCAACTTTTACCATCCGTCCGTGTTCGTATTGCTTTCTCTCTTCATATCGTCTGGACCCGGAGTGTCTCAATCAAACGTCCTCAATCGTCGGGTATCACATGTGGCCTGCGCTGCGATGCTAAAGGTACCTATTGATTAAGTACTGTTATCACCAATGACATCATTAGGGTAGATCGGCGTAAAAATAATGATTTACTAAATGAAAAACGATGAATTTGTTCAGTCGATTATTCATTTTAAATGTAACGACACACGTAGTTGTGTAGCCGTATAGTTTTCCTCATCTCATGTTTGTTTCATGTCGTGCAAGCCTTAGGTTACCGCATGCCACCCCTCGCACTGACTGACCGTTGCCAGGCTCACACCCCTTCGCCTCGCATCAAAACTATTACGCAACAAATAGTCAGTGTCCTAACAAAGTGCTTAGAGTGGCAGGGGGAGAACAGTGTAGTTTATGTACAGAAAGCCGATCCTGGACATGGGACGAGTGCGAGACGTCCTCGTAGCGCTCCGATTATTGCTTCTATCTGTAACCGATTCCGGTTAACGAAACTGGCATCGGCCATTACCTGCCTCTGCGTTTTCTATCTATAGGGGTTATATGAATAAAGGTTGCTGTCATGGGTAGAAGTGTTACCATGCTCAAGTGGGGTCGTTCAGTGATTGGCGTCTCCCCTTTCTCTCAACGCTATCCATGTCTTTTTTCGCTATATTACCATTACCAAACTATTTTCTAATAATCAGAGATTTATAGCACTAGTAACATGGGTCATGTAATAGTAATGGTCGGTGTATTGAGCATTCTACGCATCGCTATGCGCTAGACCCTTCTATCTACAACATACACATTGTTGATCAGTTTATCATTGTTGATACTGCATCTCTTTTAACCGTTTTACGTCTCCCGTACGTAAGAGACACTTGAATGCTAGGATCCCGTCTCAAATATTTCCCGATTTGTCCTGTATCTGAAAGATCGACGTTGACAGCTGAACGATTTTTGACGCGCGACAACATTTTCATTATCGTTCCTTTTAACGACATCGATTGCTTGCGTAAAAACGGTTTTAGTGAGTCGAAACGTTTATGTGACCTCTATATGTTCTCATGCAGACCGATCGTGGTCATGTATAAAACGTTGTTTCTAGTTGCCAGTAAGGATTTGTTGCTTGCTTTAAGGTAGTCTGGGGTTCACTTATTGAAGTTGTCCTGTTTGGTGGAATCGGTCCTGATATATATCCGTATATTGAATATGGCACCAAATTTCAGTCCCATATGTTCTGTTACGGCTGTGACTCTGATAGTAATTGATAATTATTATTACTTTGTTACAATGCTTTACTAGACGCTAACTATGGGTGAAATCGTGTAAACGTTCGTGGTGGTGTTTGCCCTCGCTTTGCATAGCTTTGCGACCGAGGATACGTTTTTGTTAGCTGTAGTTTATACACGAATGTATTATCATCCATCGTTCCAAAGGCTTTCAGTATTTCATCAGCGAGTACTTTGGTCTCCCTCGAAGTATATTTACTTCACCCTCTGTTTCTCTTTAATCAAACCTTAGTGCCAGCCGAGATGTCAAAAGAGCAATTCTCAGACAACAACCAGCTTAATAACCTATGACTTTTCTGTACCTTCTTCCGAATTCCGCTCATTTAGTCAATCTCGCATAAACGTATTTAAGCATACCCACGTTTTCAAGCGATTGTAGTTTCGTAATAAGCACATAGGTTACGGCGTACATTAGTAACTCGTCGGCGCGTCAATCGTCTATCTGTGACTTGTTCGCTATTATGTTGACGTCGTGATGTTTTTGTCTTTTACTTTTTCTACTTTTTTCGTGTTTCTTTGGCATCCCCGAGAGCAGCAGCGGGCTACACACGTTTTTCTTATTCATTGTGTCGTTCGATTTGGTTTATCGTATAGCCGCGCGGAACTAGAGGCGAATTCGTGAGCTGCGACCAGATCCTTGCCGCCCGTACGAATTGATGCATGGCCGCACTGGTCATCGGTAGCACTTTTGCAGCTTGTGCAGCCTGAACCGTCGCAATCGCCTGGTGCTCCAAAGAGCGGCTTTCGTCCAACGAACGGAGCAGCTCGCGGACGAGGAGCGAGGTTCAGAGTACCACACTCTGTTGCATCGACTTTCGGCAATTGTACAGCCATTTGATGACGCGGGCATTCTTTTCGACGATCGATGTTTCATGTATCACTCCACCAGCGTGCTCGACGAGGTCGTGGCTAGACAGGCCGGCTCGAATAGTACCAACGGGCGGAAGCGCAGAAGCCAGGTGATTCCGAAATTCATCTTCTGCAAATTTTACGCAGACGGAAAGACAAACCTATAGGTCAACGAGTAAGCAATGGATTGCCTCGTAGAGTTCGGGGCGGATAAAACCAAGAAACGGGCTAAAAACGAAAATGGCTCAGTTCAATAACACACATATGTTATTAGTAGCTTCAGGCGAACCCGTACTTTGAGGGAAAAAGGAATAACGTAAAGCGAAGTAGCTAGGTTCGCAAAACATGCAGCTAGACATCAGTGGACCTCTTTGTGACCAATGATAGAACGACAACGAAGGCTCAAGCTTGGGAATACAGATGGAAAATGAGTCTGGCTATATTGTCCGAAGTGCAAAGAAGAATACAACAATGATCAAAATATGCGCGACTAAGGATAAAGAATTGAACGGAGCTTGACGAGAAGGAGACGAAATGGCTGGAAAAGCCACGTCCTGGGGGAGGGGGGCATCAAAATAGAATTTCAGTATGGCGTAGGTTAGGGCAGGAGATCTTGCATCTATATATACATGGTCGCTAGACGCGATTGGCATTACGACTGCGAACACTATGAATAGGAGGCGGACTGCCCTTGTAATCAAGCCGGTAGTAGGGTGACGGAATAGCACATAATGATAGAGAAGAGGTTCTATATACATTTAGGTAAAAAAACGGTCCTTCCAACGGAGTCGCGACAAATAATTGACTCAAGAATTCACGTCTAGCTTTTGTCAGACAGATTAGATGTATGTGGACAGCTCGGGAGTGATTCTAGTAATTTAAAGCTTTGGCGGGACTAAACACTATATATTGTTCTAGTCAAGGACTGCAACCTGGTTTAGGCTCGTATACCCTAGCAGATAACGTCGTTGATAGTCACTGATTGAGGACTGCTGCAATGCGAAAGGAATGATACATGCGAAGGTACTAGTGTGATCAATGTAGCATCGAAGGACGGTTCTCTGAGATATATATGGCTTGATTTGCCCAGCCAGAAAAGCTCTGCTGGTCGTAATGTGGTCAAAAATCGCTAGCACGAACGTATATAAGAAACATTTCAGCTAGGAGTGGAAAGTAAGTAATGTATATAGATTACGGATTCATTTGATACAACATGAAATCTTTGTTTTTATATTTTAGCGTAGAAAAGGCATATGATGATGTCGTTATCTAAATAAAATACCCTACGAATTAAATGTTTGTTTGTAGCCCTACCAAAGCGCTTTATTTAATCTTACGGAGCTGACTAACATCCAAAAGTTTAGCACAAGCCCCGCAATCTGGTTAGTAACTGTTAATCCCTTCTATCCCGTTGATCGGTTGGCCAGTCGCTTCATATCGTAAATCGTTTAAGTGTAAAGTAAGCGGCCATCTTAGCGAATGTAAGTTTAAAGGGTATTGATGAAATGGAAATAAATAGGTACTTAAGCTAGCCTATTTTAATTGTGTAATTTTCCTTTTTCTAGTAGGTAACAGGTTTCTACCTGACTCGCCCTCACTGGGATTCTCGTTAGAGTTGTTGTTTGAGTCCTGCGACGACTGTGACTCAAAGAACTTCGGCGGAGTCGTCGCCGGTGAAGGTTGAACGAGGGCTGTAAACATGGTCGCGTCCAGGAAACCTAACGTATCAAAAAACAATGCCGTATCTTCCCTACGATCATACGAGCAGGGACGACGGACAAAGTTTTGACATAGAGAGTTTGGCAAGGAAAAGTCAATATTAGATACAATATCGAATTTGCCTAACTAGAAAGGCTATTAGAAGATTTTATGCTGCCGATTATATTCCTCGTACGGGTTTTTTTTTTGATGTAGATGAAATTTATACTTATCTGCCTATATATTCTATGTATAGGTATATATAGTCGAAATGATAAAAAATACTGAGCATATATAGCAGTGTATGTGAAGAGTTTCTGTGAAAAAGTAGATTTTTGTCAATTTTTAGTTAACTTTGAACATTGTATATTTTCTGAATTTTTTTGGGCAAGCCAATAACGTCTACAGCAAATCTACCGCATAGGCATTGACTGAAAAGGTTTTTCAAAAGGAACTCGATTAATTCCTATATATGCAGCCACGATAGAAACTCTCCATTTTTCTAGCTAATCGAAGAATCCATTTCAGACCAACTATCATAAAGAACAATTATTAACCCTTCTATTTGACATTTGTCCACTTTTCCTATTACAAAATTTCCTCAATTCTGGCCCAAACACTTAAAAATCCTTCCGTACAAAGACGCTTTATATAATACTTCGTAATAATCTATGCCTTTACATAAAATGCTAATCGTTTTGTAGCTGCGACAACTTTGGCACTAACTACAAACATGGTTTTGCGCTTTTGCCAATTGCAGTTGGCGGGGTACGCTTTCTATTTTTGTCTGCGTTAAATTACACTAGATATAACGAAACTTATAATAAACGGCAAACTTTAATTGGCAACAATAAACATGCAATACTGCTTGTTTTTCAGAAGTTGCGGTAACTTATAGAAATATTCGGACAAGTGTTTGTTACCTCTGCTTACGCTGAACGTTTGTCGATTTCAATCGCAGTATATGTATTACATTTCCATCTTTAAACAGAAATTTGAAGATTTACGTAGCGGCGTACGCGGCTTCACTCTGCCCATTCAATGAGACCGGTGAAATCTGCGAACTATTGGCTATATCAGAAAGTAATCGCAGTACTATGATGAAGATGTTTCTACATGGTGAAATGTGTTTATACTTGAAAAGCAAATACTCACAGCGTGTGAAATGGCTGCATAGGAGGTAGAAGGTTGGGTTGACTTTTAAAGCAACGGCTAAGCGGTACCGAGGCAAACGTCGCAGCGTCTGACCTCGATCGGCCGAGCGAGCGCGTCCCCCCGACGTTATTTGCGTCGGAATTTTCACGACCGGGTGACCGGAACGACGAACTGCGCGAGATGTAATCCGAGGTTGTTCGCGATCGTGGCTTGAAGTATTCGCTTCCATCCGTTGAAGACTCTGATGACGGTGAAGCAGGGCGAAGTCGGCTTGCAGATCGGGCCCTGAGCGTAACACAAGAGAGCACCAGAAATAAACAAAAGGACGAAGCTCGTTATAACAGTAAAGTGAATTAGTAAACAGTAAAACAAGCTGAATGCTAATGTGGCATAGTTTACTCGAAGTCGGTAGTAACTATTAAATAGATTATAAAGGAATGATTGTTATTATTATTCAAGCATTTCTATTATCCGAGAGTACATAATGACTCGAGGCACATCCCATATATTTAAATCAAGGGCTAAAAAAAAAGATCTATAAGTTTAAATATCGAAATGACGAGTAAAGCCCTCACTTATAGAGGAAATTAACACTCTTAAACATAGTACATATGTTCTGCAAATGCATATCACACTAATTCTGTTTCAATATAGGTGAGTGTTCGGTAATTCGGCAAAGATGGACGACTTTATCTACAATAGAAAATCCATTCTAAGTAATGCCGTTAAGTGCTAAGGAGAACGTTTTCGAATTTGTGTTTCGCGCGAAATTACCGACATCTGCCTTTTGTAACGCTGATTTACGAACACGAACGTATCCATTGACCGAGCTCCAGTGTACAAAATTTCTTGGTTTGATCCGCGCCACAAACGACATGCGCATTTAATATTATATTTAATTATGAGTGATGGTTAAGGAGTGGTTCGCTTATTATGTTCATTCTTTCAGTAGTATGTCGTACCGTGCCAGCAGGTTCTAGTAACCGTTTACGTTGATGAAGGAAAGCACAGATATGGCTCGCTACATATACACAGATGGCCTATCTGATAGACTGTCTAGGCAGTTTGCTGTTTATGAAGTAGATCATCCATCACTATAGCGCTATTGGACACATGTTATTTGATAATATATCTACGCTACTGATGGCCGCTTTGTAAATTATGGTGTGGCAGTATTCTCAAACATGACAAATGAGAACGAAGTTGAAGGTAACAAGCTCAATGAAAAAAAAAAATAGATTTAAAAAAGGAATAACTATTTGTCTAATCGATTCGATCTTTCGCGCTAATCCTCCCGTAGTAAATCCCTAACCAGCCACGATTTATAATCGCGTTAAAGGACCGGTTTGCGTTCGACAAAAACGTAGAGTAACGAACAGGCGCGTAGTGATTTATCATCAGCGTAAGAGTAGTCTCAAATACTAAATGTATACTCTTATTCTCGCGTTTAATACATTTGTTCTATCATATAATCATGTTGGTTTCGTGTTTAAAATTCGTCGAATGAGCTATGAGGTCCCGTAAATGGAAATCCTCCAGCCTAGCACGAATTGAAGATGTTCCTGCGTAAAGATCGGCGTAGTTCCACACCGTTTGACAGAACCGAACTTCATTGATATATGAGGATCACAAAACAATGGCCAATGTGTTCTTCGTCAAAGATATTGTGAAGTCCAGACAAAGCCAACGTCACCTTAATACCTCAGGGAATCTTCGTGGAGAGATTTTTTGCATGATACTACTTAATATGTCTAGCATCGTCGGTCGATTTTCAAAATGCAGTTATTACATTGGTAATAAGGACCGATACCTGTCTAAATTTTTCCGGTACGAAAGATGAGCGCTCCACCGAACTGCATACAGCGTATGCAGGACAGAACGTCACTATGAAACAACATCCAGCGTTCACCTTCGAGACAAATTCGAGGCAGCTATTATGTGCCTACCTACGTCTGCCCCTTGAGAGATGGGTGAAGGCTGTATTGTAACTGAAATGTGCTTTTCAAGATCCGCCTAAACGAAGCACTGTGATGATATAGAAAACTTTATCTACGCGTCATTCAAGATGCTGCGTATAGAATGTCTGCCCGATCACTGTGTTAATCTATTTCCTCATCGGATTCTTTATAGTTATCTAGGATACTTGTAAAGAACAAACTACCATAGAAAGGTATGTATGCATTTGCGAGATACGAAGAGATCTCTGAACAACCCACTAGTTCAGTAAGGTGTGCAACCCATTGTTTTTCAATGCTTCAAGCACAAAGAGGCGATCATATAATCGGATCTATCTAATGGTAATACGCCGCCTGTCGTCTACGTGAAGCTACAATAGAACGAGTGATAATAACCGTCTTTCAATTGTTAGAATGTGGTTAGGGAAGTCAGACGTTGTCGGCCTATCTGCTCTCTCTCTCGCTCTCCCTCTCCCCCCCCCCCTCTCGCATGCTGTGTATAGGTTCGTATCAAGCTTCATAATCACCTTGAACCTTGTCAGCATACGAGCTAACAAATGCAATGATCGGAGGTAAATTGCCCCAGATACTAACAGAAATGGGCAGCTCTGTTCCGCCTGTGGGAAGATCGTTCGTTTGTAAACACGTCGTCGTCATAGGACATAGTGATTTTTGTCTCCTACTAAAATGGTTCGTAGTACCCCAGTTCGTGCACGATTAATTTTATCTCGGCCCATGTTGCAATCTCGTCCATACCAGTCGTTCTAAAAATTAGTTTAGTAGGACCACTTTTAAGATGTGCAGTTTCTGGGAAAATAGAAATATGGCACGTTAAGCTAGCACAGGCAGAGTAATTATTGTTATATGTTTATATTATTTTTACAACTTTTCAGAAGATGTTTTGTCGATACGATTAGTCAGACCGAACAAGCATTTGACCCTTTATGTTTCTACGAACAAACGAATCGTGATTAAAGGTAATAGATGATTTTTAATATGATTTGAGTGAAATAATCGTACGACTTCTAAAAACATCGTACAGGTCATAGAAGCATGCCAGCCTAAGTAATTAGAGTATACAAGTTGAAATTCTTCAACTGGGCCATTCTGCTTGCTTAATAAACACAAAGATTTTTAAATTGATTTTTGTTAACTTGTCGTTCCTCTTTACGTTTGAAATGTTCTTTCATTACAGCTAAATACGATTTTGAAAACAATTAACGTAACTTGGATATTTTTGTGTAATATATGACCAAACATAAAACTCATTGTAAAACTAACACATTTTTAGCACACATTAACACACATATCGGACATTCTTCCTGCGCACTTCTCACTACAGTCAAAGTCCTAAAAAAAAAAAAGCTTTGCTCGTCAACGTAAAAACCAAAACTGTTTTTTTTTTTTTTATATAACCATAATAAAAATGAATAGGCAAAGCTCTTTGCTACATTGTTAGTCTGTTTGTGGGCCATAGAAATATCTGTCCCTCCTCCGCCTTTCCGGCACCAAAAGAATGATCGCAAAGCCTTACGTGAAAGCAGTTTCTCGTAGACTCGGTTTCATTCGTGAGAGATGCATCACAACTTTCCACTTTCATTTTCATTAGCGTGCACGTTTTTTGCTTTTGTGTCTCTTTTTGCTCTTCTGCATTTGGATGGTTGGTTGATTTTCTCTTTTCAGAGTTTCCAACATTGCAGCTATGTTCAACAGAGTTCGCCGAACGTTAACTGTGACACATAGTATTACATACATAGATGTTTCACTTCGTTTAGGCCATAGGCCACCTAATAGTGCACTGTATATTCTAAGCAGCGACCACATACGTATTCAATCCTGCTAGCCGCGGAGCCTGGGCCAAGGATAAGGCTAAACTTTCTTTCAGTTCTCCCTGGTCCCCAACGCACCTTTTAGCATAGTATGCAATGTTTGCATTTTCACAAGGTGGGACCACTTTCCCCAAGTGTTGTAGCCATCTAGCCACCTAGTTTCATTTGTGCTCTTGTTCCATAGCTGTCCGGTTGCTTGGCCTGCTCTTGGAAGTAGACGTACCTTTACAGATACGAAGAGCCGGGATAGTTTGGCCTAGCTATTGGAATAGTGCTTCTAGATTCACTCGGTAAGAGTGCGTGACTTCCTGAGCTCTGGAACCTTGAATCTAGATTCTAGCGCCATTGACCGAATAGATTTCACCCTTTGCTACAATGCAACAGACGACGTCTCTTTCTATTGGTCTCAGTATGGGGTGGTCGCCGTGAACAGTTAGAGAGGAAGAGGGGCAACCAGAGGGCCTAGTGTGTAGTGACCGTGCCTGGCAATAGCACTCTCCTGAGATATTTTTGCTCGGTTTGCTCTTTTTTTCTACTGGATGTTAGGCATGCGCGATACACTAAGGACACGACACTTATAGAGGGTCACGAAGCAGGAGCAGCAGCGATGGCTGTGAGCTCACGTAGGTTGTAGGGTAAATAAGGAAGATGATGTCGACTTTAAGCAAGCTAGCTGAACGGCTAGTGAGACACACATCGCGTCAAGACTAGGAGATGGAAAGACCTCCAGTGAAGCATTTGCAGTTTCCAACTTTCCCCTACTATTGCATCGAGAAAACACGGTGGCAGTCGGTATGAAATAACCAGCTAGCCGTCAAAGACTCTTCAACGAATGCCCCCTGGACTGGTCCAAGTGAAGAGTGTTTCATCAAACCCAAGAAGCAAACGAGGGTAGCCAATTTAATGTGCACGTAAAGACAAACGCCAACTTATTGAAGTCCTTTTTTCTACTGCAAAAACAGCCGCCGCAAACGGGTAACCTTGGGGAGATTTCGTCTTCACCCTGTTGAACGGAAAAGCTACGAAGTTAGTCGTAATAGTAGAGATCCACGAGAAAAAAATATTCTGATGGTAACAAAAGAAATAGGACAAGCGAGAGAAGACGACCCGATCAATCACGCATGGGAACACCCAGTTGACTTCTACACATGTAGCCACAATTGTCGTGAATGCGATGCACGGTATCATTTGCTGTCATAGGAACCGCAGCGAAAGCCAAGTAACGCGGACAGCAGTGATCGCCGCAGGGGACCATTGACTGAAGGATTTTATCCAGCCTACTAGTAGTCTATTAGCGGGATCTGCAACCCGATACGGTTTTTTGATTGATCACTTAATGTACTGTTACTTCAACACTCGCTGTCGTTGTTCAATGACTCTTAATTGGAATACTTAATCGGACAAAGACCTTAGTATAATATTTATAAAACAGAAAAAATTAGTACCCTATGCTTATCCATATGAAGAATGCGTGTCAGTCTTATTCGTCTGTGAGATGGCT